TTTCCCTCCAGAATGCAATCTGCTGATGGCACTGATCCTTTAGATTAGGCCCTCAGTATCCAGGATAAAGTAAAAAAAAGAAAAAAAGCCATCCTTCACTGCATCTGCATTTGATCAAGAATTCATATATGGACTTATCGACTTGCAGATCCACCCTTTCTACCTTGCTGGTCTGGACAGATGCCAGAGGTCAAGTTAACTACCCTGATATTATATAATACTGCACCTTAGTTAAAATTCAATACAAAATTACACACACGAGGTTCTTATGGAGGTTGGAGATGGATTTTGTTTCACTGAATAAGGCATAACAAAGATATGACATCAAAGTTATCACTTCTCAGTTAAATTTTTACAGAACCAGCTATTAAAAGCATCCCTTAACTTCCACAGAGCCTTTATGAAAAAAGTTTCTGGAGTGCAGAATACAGTCATTATGGAAAACCAGACCATGGACTGTGCCAAGACTTCCAGTAACTTCCAGTAATGTCCACTAATTCCAGTAACAGTGTGTTTTACAATAACAAATCTTGGTGCTGTAGAGGAACAATGCTCAGACAAAATTGACCCATCTGTGAAGAAGCCTAGAAGGAGATTAACTGCAGAATTTAAAGGTTAATGTGGGTCCAAAATCTGGCCTCAGAATATGAACTAAGCTTACAGGCATACACTTAATCATTATAAACTTATAATGACAGTGAAATACCGCTGGGAGAACACCATGCCCAGAGTGCTTCGGATGGATTTGGCTACAGTTTCTCCTGGCCTAGCTGGGTTCAGCAGTTCCTAGCGAGTGGTGGCCTTTTGCCAGCAGCGGGAAAGTGAAGGCACAGCAGGCGTGGGGATTGTCCAGCTGGCTCCTAAATGTCCAATTTTCTATTGGAAAGATGAGACCACTGCAACAGATGCCTTGGCCTACAGGGAGCTAATACTACTGTCTGTGTCTCTGCAGTCAACCAGTGATTACCTTCAGAAGCATTGTCTGCAACAGGCTAGAAAGGTGGAAGATCTCTAGGAACAATACGGCTATCCAACTATGAGCCCCTAGTACATTAAAGTTCTATGCAGGAACCAAAACCTTGCAAAGCAGAGACAGTACTTAACTGTTTAGTTTATGCAGATAATGCATGCAACTTGATTACATCAATGCCTTAATTTGTGGCCATTAGAAATTGTACAGCAAAAATGAACTTGTGAAATGAACAATTATGTCAGAATCTATTTGAGGTCCCCACTAAAGGTTTTAAGGGGCCCAGGTTACTGCAGGCCATCTGCGCCATGGGCCACAGTGCGATTGCACATCAACCGCTTACATTTTACATTACTGGCACAGTGTGTATAGGCTATATGCAACAGTAGCATTTTAGAGACATTTTATTCAGACTGAACTTTTTTTGAGTCGCAACTGTTTTCTGAAATAACAGTGACAAACTGCGCCAAATAGTTTCCTCCACTTTTTAATAAAACTGCTTTTCTGAATTGCTATCAGTCACCACAGTGAGTTATTTTTGTTACAGAAGTAATTAGAAAGATGTGTAATAATGTACGGTGCCATGATAAATTATTACATTGTCTGAATTTGGAACATAGCTATTAGACTGTAAGAGGGCTTAAATGTGTAATTTCTCATTTTCCACTCCTTTATGGCGAGAGGACCCTGAGATATTGTCTTGCCATTCCCTGCAGCAGAGTTGATAAAAATGCAGTTTCATATCTGAGCAGAAAGCAATTGAAAGGAGAGACAGAGGGAGCGAGTGAGAGAGCCTCAGTGCTGCTGGGCTTTTTCAGTTCTGAGCGAGTGACTGGCTCTACCCTGGGATTTGTTCCATGGTCCACCCTGCTGCGTGAGTGTCAAGGGCAATCTAGGACTCCCAAACGTACGCTCACACACCAGCAGCTGACAAAGAACATCCTTACCACAATCTCCCAGGAACAAGGCTGATGGAAGTGTGACAGATTCAAAGAGCTTCACAGTTCGGCCTCTGTCAGGGGGATGACGGCACGAGTGTCAGATGATACTGTGATCTAGTAGATGGGGGAGAACAGGATGACATGACAAGTGAACTGGGAGAAATTTAGTGGACGACCAGACAGAGAATGATTCAATTTAGACCCAGATGCAGCTGCTCTTTCTGTTTCAGTGCAGTCAACTGAGGTAGATGGACGTTTTCCCCAGGAATTAATTACGGCTCTACAGTGAATTCTGGAGGTTTCCTTTTGGTTTACATTAGAGGGGCGACAATATATCAGAGCACTGTGATGCATCAAACTGATGATAACCAAACAGAAGGATAATCAGTGAAGCATGCTCTCATTTTTTTTGCCAAAATTAAATTTTAGGGTAATTCTTAAATGTGGAAATAAACAGGGTTTAGTTTTTATTGTCTATATTTCAGTACTGTGTAAACAGGCCCTCCAATTATATTTGTGTCTTCCATTTTTTTTGTAAATAATTCTGAATCACACCAAAATAATTCAGCTGTATCTCTAAAAAACTGAATCACAGTGAAAAATAAGATTTCACAGTGCATTGCATCTGTTTCCTACTGAAGCCCTAAAGGGCCAGAGAGTTGCATGTTGTTTTTACTGCATTTTTCCATGATAACGAGTTATTGTCATTTGTTTTCTTGAAATTGTATGATATTTATATCATTATCACAACATAAGGGACACTGTTTTATTCAAGATAACAATCGCTATGTTGTGATAATGGCATAAATAACTCAAGATCTCAAGAAAACGAATGAAAATGACTCATCATGGAAAAACCCAATTAACCCGCAAATCCATGGCCCTTTAGGGCTTCCGTAGTTTCCTATGATTCATAATCAAATCATGTCAGGATCAGAGATTTACAGCTTTCTTTCTCATATCAACATGTTATTAATGTGTTGTCTTTTGTGTGCTGTTGCTGGTGAGGAGCTGACCTTATGCACCCTACTGTTCACACTGTTCGCCTCCTTCTGATTCTCTGGGTTTCTGTGCTTTTTACATCGGTCATTGCAAAGATGAAATGAGCTTTTTATTTTTTCTCTGCCTCAAACACTTATTCGTCCAAACTATTGCTTTGATAGTTGTCCTGCACTGACTGTATGCTCAGAAGAAATCAATATCTCATTTTAAGCCCCCAGTAAGAATCCACAGTGCAAGACATTCAGCAGAGGCTGACCAGAGCCCAGTAGTTTATAGAAGCTACCAACTAAATCCAACCACAGCAAACACACAACTTTAAATAAAACCCTTAAAGGAAAATGCTAAGTTAGGTTCATTTAATTAATTTGTGTCTATGTAGTTCGTTTTTGAGCAGTGCAGATCAACATTGACATTTTTGCTATGAGGCAATATGACCAAAATATAACATCATACTACTTTTTCATTATATTTGTAGAAATATAGAATTTTCATGATACACGATATGCATCATAATATTTAGCTCTTCTGAAGTGTGATAAGTTGCAACAGACACAGTGCACTGTTAGTGCCAAAGCACAATAAAAACAGAACACTATGATTTTATATTAACGTTTCATGCATGAGTTATGCTTCCTAACCCACCATCATCAGGATTTAAACTCTATAAAAAAACTGAAAACTCTTCTCAACCTCTTTCTAATGAAACGTTGTTGGCCAGTTACTGTCGATGCAATCGTTAAGTACAGAAGAGCATCATGATAATGATACCGTATCCTCATACTGCCCACCCCATCTCTGAAGTGTCTTACAGTACATGGAGTCCTGTGTAAAATGCTTTTGTAACCCTTATATGCCACCCATAATCAGAACTGATGGTCATTTACCAAATTTTCATCTAAACGAGTTGGATTGCCTTGGCTGCACAAAGTTATTTTCCCTCCCTAATGAACTAATTGGGTCAGCAGCTGGAAGAGGTTGCCCCTGAAGAGTTGCTTGGCAACAGGGTCACTGTGGACCGAGCCTGTTTGAAATGGAAACCAGCAGTTGCTGTTCTGGAAGCATTTCAAGATGAGCGACATAATTTTCCCCCGATACACGCAACAGCCCAAACTCCATCAACCCAGCACCACTGAGCTGCACCTTACCAAACCTCATTTATTGACAGCACTGCCTGACACAAATGGAACTAATATTTATTTAACAAACATGACACAAGCTTTTTTTTGTTAGAAAAACTGAATTGAAATGAAACAATGCAAATTGTTGGTCAACAACAACACAACAGTAACATGAAAGGAGAACAAAAAGACTTGTTTTAATGACTCCAAAATAAAGTACAAACAAACCACTTTGGTCAGTTTTTCAACTAAACTAACTTTCAGAGAGGTGTGAGTGTCTCACATCAGACTCCAGAAATGAGATGATAAAACAGTGTCACTAAACGTATTATCTTAATGCCAATCTTTATAATTCATCCTAAACATGAAACAAATGACACAGAACGTCAATAAGATCAGCAGTAATTTAGTTCTAACATCATTCGTGCTAAACAGAAGGTGCACGCAGACAGAAGATGATGCATGTGTTGACTACACTTGCTTAGTGATAAACAATCATGATAAACAAGGCATGGATTATTGAAAAATTCAACACTCTAGATATGATCACTGCTGTTTTGGCTTGCAGCTTGGAATAATATGCTTTGGTGATACAAAATCTCTTGACGACAGCTTTCAAATTAGTATCAGATAACAAAATATTAAAAAAACAAATGGTGTAAAAGCCGAACATAGTGTATGATGTGACCAAACGCTTTTGAATTTTGTGTCCATTAATGGACATAACTTATTAAAGGCACAGCTTTCTCTGGAGAATAATCATCATGACCATTTTGCCATGCATTTTGTATATAAATAGGTTTTCCATGTAGGCACCAAAATAGCTCAATAAAAAAGACAGTAGAGAAAATAAAATGTTAAGCACCATTGGACCATAAACAATACCTCATCTCTGATGAAAAGAATGTTGAACTGCTTGGAGTTTCAAACGTTTGGTGCCACAAATGGAAAAGCTTTTTATTAAAATGTAGAAAAGACCACCACACTGGGTTATGCGATTTCTCATGTTCTCCTCTCTTACGGTTTTAAAGTAAGTCCATTTAAAGTTCCAGGAGCCAGCTCGCAAGGTTCTCTTTGGAGGCCCCAAGTTGGACACATGTTCGGTCTTCATTGATTAACCACAAAGGCAAAGACGGAGTTGAAAGAGGTCAGCAGAAATATCCCTCACCTTCATTAGTCTGTATTAGCTTTTGTAAGGGTTATAAGATCATGGGGACAGTTTGTCGACATCTGCAGCTTCTGGACATGCTGCTTTATCCACAGAGATGCTAGGCTGTGTCTCCTGGGTCTCATTAGAACAGGGTGATATGGAGTTAGCAGAGGAACCAAAGTGGTGGGCGTCCACCAGCAGCAGCATGGGAGTCCCACTTCTTTTCAGAGTCTCGCTCATGGACACGTGAACTTCCTCTGGCGTGACGCCCAGATCTGAAGGTGATTTGCGTTTGATGCGCTCGTATGTTTTGTCCTGGCTCTCCGGAAACGTCTCGCTGTCCTGGAAGCGTCCGAAAAGCCAGATAAAGAAGCCGAAGAGAACGAAGGCAGCCAGGCTTGGAATGAAGGCCAAGCACTTCACGTCCAGGCTGGCGCCGATGTAGCGGCTGTGGAGGAACATGTCTCTGTGGATGTAGGTGAGGTTGGTGCGTGGGTTGATGTTAGTGGAGCGCCACTCCCAGGTGAGTGTGCTACGGTTGAAGTGGCTAAGAGTGTCCGGCTCTTCTACTGTGTAGATCTTCTCTCCTGGGCCGACATACTGACCGTATTCATAGGGCTTATAGAAAATCTGGTTCTTCCACATGTTGAGGTCCAGAATGAGAACCAAGAAGATGATACCATAGTTGAACCATTTACCTGCAATAAACAAGAATGGGGAGTCATCATTAAAGACATTAAAAGTTGTGAAGCACCATGGAGTGATTTCACATATTTCTAATCTAACCCATAACCTGTACATGAATAAATAAAACATTTATCACTCTTCACGCACCGACATCGTAACCTTGTACAGTAAACAAATACAACATACTTTCAGGGAGAACTTTGTTCACACAAGCCTTCAAAATATTCTCACAGTCTAAAGCAGTAAAAGAAAGCCTGAAGGTTCTGATTATAAAACAGATGGCTCCCTGCTCTGGGAAAGATTTGAAATGAGCCTATTCTTCTCTAGGAGTCTACTTTTTAATAGCCTTTCTTTTTTAATTTAGTCACACGAGACTATTCTCATAATGCTAAATTGCTGTGCAGCACATTAAGGTTAACAGTCAATCGCAAATTGTTCAGCATGCTACCCATGCGGGAACTATAGACTATTCCCACAATAGCTGTCACGGCAAAGACCAGAGTGAGTCAAAGATGTTGTATTGGATTTAAAGAGGGCCAGTCAATTAGCTCTTGCATACAAGGTCCCACTGTACAAATGCAAGGTTTTATTGAAGCAAATGACATGAAGTACAAAGAAATTAATGATCAGTTCAAAGCCATCCCCAACGTGTTATTATGAAGCAAAATATTCTGGTAGCTTCTTAATATTCTTAAATGATACCCGAGAACCTTGCTACAAGATGATTATACTGCTGCAGTTACAGCTGAATGATTCTTTAAATGGGATGGAAATGCATAGACTGCTGGGGAACTCAGGTGCACCTGTGATGTGAATGTGATACTCCTCCTTAAAGATCCGTTTGCAGACTGGTAGTTTAAATTTTAGCTGGGTCGTGGACAGGCCAGGCAGATTCATGTCCAAATCACCCATGAAGTGTGGAAACTCCCAATCCTGAGGACAGAAGAGTCAGCACAGTAATGTGAGGCTGCTGAAGTAAGGTTTTCTAGACTCTATGCATGAATGAACAAGATAGGTGAAAATATAAGATATACATATCATATGATAAATGTGTGTGCAAAACTCAGAGACCACCCTTTCATTTGTTTCCAGTCAAGAGCAAGTTATTTATTTTTCAGCATCAGAAAATAAGCAGAAAACATATTTACCATAAATGCACACACAAGCATTAACAAATTAATACAATACTAAATGTTTCAACACTAATGTGTCCACACTTTGCTTTTATTAGAGCTTTCATTCTTATCAGGAGACAAGAAAGACAATTTCAGTTATTCAAAGAAATCTGCAGGGATATTTTTCCACACCTCCAAAGTTCAGTCTTAGACGTTGGTTGTATTTTCTGCTTCTCACAATCCAAATAATCACAGATTTAGACTCATCAGTCCATAAAATCTTACTCTCCATCTCAGATGTCCAGTTTCAGTGTTCTAGTGCAAAGTCTATTTTCTTTTCTCAGTAAGGGCTTCTTGACAGCTACATATCCTTCCAGATTCGTAGTGTTGAGTTGTTCTTCTCACAGTGGAAGGATGAACAGAAACACATGTTTTCAGATCTGAAGTAAGAGTGGAGCTTGATTTTCTCCTCTCTCTCAGAGATAAGTCCTTTAAGTTCTGTTTATCTGACCGTGACAGTTTTGGTGGTCTACCAGATTGTTATGAGTTCTAGAAGAGGCACTGTTTGATTTGAGTCACTCTGTTCAAACACTTTTCTTACTCCATTATTTCACAGGACAAAAGAAGAAAAGGTCCATGTCAAACTTAATCAGAACCTTGATGGAAGGCAGTAGAAGAGAATCTTTAAATGTGATCTCAGCTTTGGCTTTTTAGAGATGGTGGACATTAAAACGTCTTAGTTTGGTCTCTGATTGAGGTACTGTAAAAATTCAAAAAGTAACATTTGTTTTTTTAAATAAACATCCACATTCCAAAAAGTCAAAATTTTAGAGCGTGAAGGGTTTCTGCAGGCTGACACATATTACTGTATTAAGTTAGATGAAGGGGTGCAAGGATACACTATGGCATGAATGTGTTTGTGGCTATAAAGCTACTGGCTGTATCTCAACCGTTGAATCGTTTAAGTACATGAAAGTGTACGTTTTATATCTCTTATACAGCTGTTATATCTTTAGGACCTATAAGCATGATTGCCTCCCTGCTGTTGAAATGATGTTCACATTTGTGCGACAAATGCTGTGCAGCCAATGGCAGTTTGGTAAAAAAGTCTTGTTTCTGTAGAGTTTTTTTTCTTCACTTTCCTTTTGCAAGCGGATTATCTTATATATAATCTCCTCACAAATATCTACTTTGGTCATTTATGCTTATGAGAAAGAAATGTGCAGGGCAGCTGAGGTGTGTTTGGGTAGTGGCTTGTGTGAACGTTCCTGTCTGTTTGAAGAGAGTATTGGGAACAGTATTTGTTGGGAGAATGTAATGCATTGGTTTTAAGACTGGAAGGATGGAGTTAAAGTGACAGTACATGCACAAAAAAGAGACAAATTAAATACTGATAGATTTGATAGTATACTTGGTGTTGGAGGCTTTGTGTAATTTTCTGTTAAATATATGTCTCTGTTTTTTTATCCTGATACTGAAAATGAGTAACTTGCATTTAATGGCCGTTTTGACTGGAAAATAAATAAGTTAAAGGTGATCTCTGACATCATGTGCTCAGAAAAGCTAAGATTTTGTGAATTCTGTTATAGTTTTCTGGTTGACTTTTATCCCAGATCACAGATTCCTGTGAAAGTTTCAGCTGTAGAGTACGCTGAGTTCCATCAGATGGGCAGATGTCAGACTTATCCGTTATCTGCCTGTGGTGCCCTTGGAAGCTGCCCGCAACACAGGAGAGCAGAAACTCAATCAAACCTTCAAAGAGCATGTGGATGATGTAGGCTCTCGCTAGGTAGTGAAAGCTTTCAAACATTAGTCTGGATTACAACACATCTTTGGGGCTGGAGATGGGGTATTTGAGAAAGGAAAGGAAAATGAAAGAGAGGGATTACATAATACGCCTTGAACTTGAAAAGCGCAGGATAAACTTCCAATTAAAGCAAAACTGGCTTTACTCCCTTGAAAATACACTTTGCATCCTACCGCTTAAGCATTGTGTTTACAAAATTGAATGCCTTTGATTTCTGAGTTAAGCCAATACATGACTGCAGCCTCCTCCTCCTCCCTCTCTCTCTCTCTCTCTCCCACTTTCTCGCTCTCCCACTCTCTCTCCCACTCTCTCTCTCTGTGCCTCAGTTTCAGCTCATTTCAGTTAATGATAACCATCACACTTAAAAAAGACCAATAAATGTAAGAAATAAAACCAACAGAGGAGCATCAAATGCAAAGGCCTTGTAAATCCAGCAGGAGTGATGGACTGAGGAGGCTTTGGCATGACCGCTGTCAACATTGAGGGAACGTTAATTAGTCTCTGAACAAAAAAAATATATAAAAAAATTATGTGGCGTCACGCAGAGTGTGGAGATTAACCGTCACACACAGCGAACACAGACAAAGGTGAAGCGAAATATCTCAGTCTCTGAGGGCTAGTGTTGTAGTGACTGCGTTGGTGAGACAAAGAACAGATCGAGGAGAGCTACGTTCCAGCTGTAAAGGGCCAATTGAAATCATAAATAAGGCTAATAAACATGTTTGCAGGTACACAAAGCAGCAAATGAAGACAGCAATCCTGAATGAATCTGGTAGAATGAGAGTAGCATATTGAGCAGAACTCAAGGTCCTGTGTGGGCGGACTGTACTCTGCTCGAAAGCAAAGAGAGGTGACATGATGGGGAATACAATAACTCAAGGCTAATATCTACAGTGCAGGCTGTAGGTAATTAGGCAGCGATAATTCTTTTTAATTCTAGCATGTAGGGACTGTTGTTGTCTCTCAACATTAGGACCAAAAAAAGTGTCAAAACCAATAAAACAGGCTGACAAATCTGAATAAAAATCATCAGAGACTTCAACTGCTGGCTGCATTGTTAAAAAGCAGAAGGCAGTGGTGAGCCTTGCAATAGCAAATGAAGATGCAGGATGAACAGTGAATAGTAGAGAAGCATCGTAACTACTCAGATCCAAACAAAGATCAGGAAACTCGGTGGATGGTGCTTTACCTTGCAGCGGAACAATGACCCAAAACATGCTGATAAAGCATCTATGGACGTTCTCAGGGCTCAGTAATTAAATTAAACAGACATTTGCACAAAGCTGTATATATGTTTAGAAATTACATTCATTTAAAACAAATACAGACCCTTATCAACGAAGTACCCTAATATTTATTGTACAAATCCCAGCAGTGTTACTTTAGAGGACGGGTTCTTGGACCTCTTCTCACTGTTTTAGGTTACATACACTCCCACTTGAGAAACCGTTGAGTACACTCAAAGTAGAACATGAAATTAGCATATGTATGAGACAGTGACATGCTATAGTGATGTGCCCCCTTAGGAAAAGTGGAGGACAGTAATGATAAATCAGTTAAAGTAAACACATGAAAAACATGCACATCCAGTAATTCATATACAGATACACAACAACTGACATCACACATAGGCACAAAGCCTGCAAAACACAAGTAAACACAGCTCAAATAACATCTCAGAGTGTGTCGCAGTGCCTCAATGTGTGTGCGTGTGGCAGAGAGCAAATGGGAGAGAGAGAAATAGCAAACAGAAGAAAAAACAGAGAGAGAGAGAGAGAGAGAGAGAGAACATAAGAGAAAGCGGAGAGAGAGCGTTACTTTAATTAGTCATTGGGGAGGGCAGCGCTGTACCTGCATGACAATGAGGAGGTCGAAGACGAGAATGAAGGAGGCGAGAAAAGCTCTGGAGACTTCGTCACTCGGTAGAAACCCACGATTCAGATTATCCCAACTAATCCAATCTGTACTAATGACCAGTACCACCACAGACGTCAGAGAGATCAGCACTGTCCTGAGAGAGAGCAAGAAAAAGAGAACTCAAACTATGCCAAGAGTTACTGCTGATAAACCTTCATAAACACTTGGTGTTAGGTTTCTTGTTATCATACAAAACCCTTTCTGAGAAAAGCTAATGTGGTCTGTGATTTTCCTGTTTCTGCTGTTCATTAATAAGAAACTTAAATTAATTTAGCATTAATTTTGCAACAGTTATTGCAAATCAAAAGCTAGTGCAACAGAAATGAAAACAACAGAAAAGAAGCAGATCCAGGTTTTTCCTCAAAAACATCCTTTTCCAGGATATAAAATGATTTTAGCATCGTTTTTGTGAAATGTGTGCTGCTAAAGTAAGAAAAGGTGCAACTATTGCCTCCCATGGGGTTCCACAGGGCATATAATGAGACAACAAAATTGCTTTTTGAAACTTTAATATACCACTAATGCATGGATGCAATATTCTCAACAGTTATGCCATTATTTCCATCTCATGGTAAGACTGCCTGTAATCTTATAACTCGCCTGAGACTGTTTTGCTGCACTAGGCTTCTGTGAATGCTATAGGCAGAGATGTGTTTCTGTATGTTACTGTTTTACATTTTCCTTGCGCTAAGGTGCGTGAACACACTTAAATAAAGCGCACTAGTTAACAGTATTAGTTAATAACTAAAACAGTTTTAAAGTTTAAAAATATTAGGTGAAGATGTTACAAAACTCACTCATAATTAACTGAGAAACTGAATGCAGTTCTGTCCTGTAAAAGTCTATGGGGGTTATGTTTTGTGCTGTTCTCAAGAATCACTTAGTAGTAGAGCTGATGTGTGCTCTATAGTAGGCACTTCATTTTCCATCTCATATTATATTGAATTGCTCCAAGATGCTTCCCAACTAGTTGTCTGGAAATGCTGGAAATGTATAAGCATGCTTTATACCAGTGGTCTCTAAACCTGGTCATGGAGAGCTGCCTTCCTGCAGAGTTTAGTCCTAACCTGTATCCAATAAGCAGCCCCGCCCCATACTCAACTCTCATACACCTGATCCAGCCAATCAGGGTCTTGGAAAGAGTTTGATTAGCTAGAGCAGGTGTGGCAAATTGTGTTTGGAACTAAGCTCTGTGGGAGGGTTAGAGGTTGGAGACCACTGCTTTATACACATGGGGGGAAGCATATGTTGCGATTTCCTTCCTATGGCACATTCATGTGACCAGGGACAGAACCCACTACACTGAGACCTGGCTCTGATAAAGTTTCCACCCACATCAGTTAATCACTTTTTTGTTACACTTGAATGTAACAATCCCCTATCAATATTTAGAGAGACTTATCACCATTGATACATTGAACATGAGTCTCTCTGCATTCACTGCAATGGTTTGAGGACCAACTCAAGCAATGGAGAAGCATGTGGGGCTGAATGCCTTACCTTTCAAAGACTTCAATGCCACACTTAGCACTACATAGGCTGTTTTTGTTACTGTGTATTTAAATGACCTCTGTTCTGATTGGCTGTCTGTATGGTAAGGCAGTTGAGGCTGAAACACTCTTTATAACTTCCATGTAAATGGGTGGGACTCAACTGCTGTAGACTAAATTGGTAGATACACAGTACTGCGCATCTCAGAAAATGATGTTTTTCATATATATAAAAATGGGCCTTAGTTTTTTATATATGGGCTGAATGAACTCTGGATTGAAAGGTATGATTGATTCCACAATTGGGGTGCCATTTAGCCCTTGTGACTCTTAAAAATGACACTTTATTTTTATAATTTTTCAACACTGAATCTACGAAAACATACGTAAAAATGTGCCTAACAGGGTTTTCAGCACTAACTTAGCAAATATACAGAATGAACTAGCGTCTATGCTAAAGCATGAGGACATTCTAATGATTTACTTTTTTTTTTAAATAGTTTTCTTTCAGTCTATAATTTAGATAATAGGGATGTACTTTCAAAGTGACCACAAGTCATTATCACAAAGTCATTTAAAATGAAGGGAAAAAATAAGAGATATTTTTCAAAAATTGGATGATGCAACTTGTTGAACATGCGACTTGTGGAATATTATAAATATTTTTACGGGTGAAAGTGTTCATGGACCAGGGATGAGTGACGGTTGAGGGACACAATTAAATGTACATCAGAAATTGAATGACTCATGAAAAAGGCTGTTTCAAGCATGAGATGTCAATCCAATCAGATGGATTCACACATCAAAGCAAAAGTCACAAGATTTCTGTGGTAAGTATTTTAAAGATTATTTTTCAAGGTAAAGTGTAGTTATAGCAAGCAAGGACAGCCAAAACACTGTTGTCTATGCACTGCAGACATGTTTTATTAATGTTTAAAGTTATTTATCTTTTTAAGATTCATCTGCACATTTACCTCACAGGACACTTTACCTGTGTTTAAATGTCTTTCACCTTATCATACATATTTGTAAATGTAGTATCGGTGCAACACAGATGACACCCTATCTGTGGAATCATGTATGCTTTGAAACTTTAACGGTGTTTACAATCTTCAAAAAAGATCATATGGGCCCTTTAAAGTGGAGCACAGGTCTGACCGTGTCAAAGCTGTACTAAATCAACCAATTAAAGCTCAGAGACTTACAGTGTTCAGTGAGACTGTGCTGTTGAAGTTGTAGTGTGATGACCATCTGAGGCTGAATGACTTTAATTAATTAAAGGTCTATATAGACACATGCACACACACAAACAAACAAACATCTCTTATAGCTCTACTCTGTGAAACACTCTGACTGGTATACAGAAACAACATCTCACAAGCTGCTCCCTGTTGATTTGACACAGCTGTCATGTTCCTTTTTCCTTCACAAATCAACATCTGAGCAAGCATTTCACCCTGTAGCTCACCAGAAAAGCACAATTCTGTTGTTGCCCTGTTTCCAGAAGCGTCGGGCGGTTTGTCCCCAGTCTGGGTATAGTGTGTCTTGCAGCATCATGTCCGTCACCTGACAGAGAAGATGAGCGGGTGTCAGTAAATCTGTACAAATTGAGGGCACTATTCATAGTTCATGCAGTGACAACTTGCTGACTTTTATCTGTTTCAGAATAAAATACAGATAGAGGCCCATACACCGTTACCACATACAGTATACACATAAATTACCATATACACTTTGCCATAATAATACTTTTTGTTATTTTATATGAAGATTAAAAAAAATACCAAAAGGGCTTCTGAGAACAAACTATGTGCTGGCTCTATCACTAGGAGATCGCGAGTTAGATCCCTGACGATACCACAGCCATCCGTGGCCAAGAGTCCAAGAGGGCATAACTTGCCTTGCTCTCTGTGGGTTGGTAGGATATCCCTCTTTCTCCACCCTTTACTCAGTACACTGCTAGCAAACATTGCTGTCTTTTAGCCAAAGAACTGGCAGTTGAGCTGACGCTACATTAGTGGCAGTTTGATAAGATGTGGTTGTGTGTCACATGTCTCAGAGGAAGCACACGCAAGCCTTCACCCTCCTATCTTGGTAGCACAGAGGAGCAGGCCTAGCTAATGGATGAGAATTGGTCATGACTAAAACTGGGGCTAAAAATTACGAACTATTAACAATTACTCTATATTTACATTTATTCATTTGGGCCACTCAGAAGCCCAATGATACTTTTTTAAATAAAGTGCTTCAAGATTTGATCAATATTTTTCAAAATGTGAGGCATTCTGGATATTCATTTCATTCAGTTTTATTAGAACAGCATTATTGATCATCTATAGCTCTGTGCATTATCTTGGACACATTTAAAATTTCTTTATTTTCACAGCTTCCTACTAATTATTTGAAACTTGTGAAACTGCACAGGCATGTTAGTATTGTGCATTTATTTGCAATAAAAACGACTTTATATCACTAGAAACACTGATTCCAAACTTTTAAACAAAACTGTATAAAAAATATATTAACACATTCTATAATTTCAGTGCTTATTTTTAAATAAAACTGATTTCAATACTGCTAACACTGATGATGCAGCAGGTCACACAGTGTTAAACTGGTGCATCCCTATTAAATGTTCGCAAATACTGCCAAACATTTTTAGATCTAATCTTACTCCTCCGGCTCTTTCTATAAAGCTGACGAGTGGACAATTGAGCTTAGTGCAGACGGATTTCACAGTCAGAGCACGCTCTTCCTGTCAAAGTTTACTGCTGTTTGGGAGAAAAATATCACCCTTGAGCAATCAGTAAAAGTAATTAAACTCAGCCGCCTCTCTATCCCTCTCTGCCCCGTCTTGCTCTCCTTCTCTCTGTTTCTATGCAAATCTGGCCTTTTCAGGATGACACATTTTGTCCAAGGTTAGCGTGTCAATAGATTAGCGCACCCTGAGGCAAGAGCACACACAGCGCGTCCCCCCAGCGGGACAGACCTGGCATCAAATCTCCCTGTTCAGGCCAGCGGTCTCAAACTGTCTGCGTGCATGTGTGTGTGTGCATGCGGGTGTGTTTTGCCTCCTCAGACCATGACACGTTTTCCAGAAAAAAAAAATTGCACAGCTTCATAGAGGAGAAGAGGAGGTCACTGAGAAAGAGCCTTGTTGAGTTAATGGAATGTAAAAAAGCCTAAAGTAATGTCTCGATTCAGCACTTTTAGAGCCTCCCTCTCTCTCTCTCTGCATCTCTCTCACTCTTCCTCTCTCTATTTTTTCTCCCTGTCAGGCATACTAATGTAAGGCAGGCAGCAGAGGGTTGTCAAAGCTGCTCCTATCCACACACACACTTTTGCATACACACCCCCACACAATAACACACATGTATACAGTTGAAAGTGGCAGAGCTGCTCATCCTCTATAGACACTTCAGTCCCAGAGGATCCTCGTCCCACAGCAGTGTGGGTGGACAGTGTAGCTGAGCTGAGACTGGAGACAGCACAGCTGACAGCGCCATGTCACTGTGACCTCAGAATGCCCTTCACTTCATGCATGAACTTTAACCTTGTAGTCTAGTCTAGGCATTTCTTTCAGTTATTCTGGAGAAATATTATTACTTATTAAGTGTTATAAAGTAAGTAAGTAACTACTAATATGTAAGTTATACTGTTACAAGAGTGAGGAACTGCAGGCTGGACCCAGAAACAGGCCCTTGCAATTTATGGAGATAATAAGTGTGCTGAGTTATTCTGATTTCCTTGTTATAAAACAGAAATTGTTTCGTTCACTGAGATAAACCAGTTAACCCCTTAAATGACCAGGACCTGCCAACAGGTCCAAAGGCACAAACACTTGACATAAGAATAAGTCAATTTGCACTGTAGTCAATGTAGTCACTGACTACTACTCTTAAGGATGTAATACACCTGGGATTTTAAAGGGTTACATTTTTTTCCTCCTTCTTTTTGAATTCATTTTAAGCTGTTACATTAATACAACAATGAAAATCATAAATTTTGGTAATTCTTCTGACATTTTTGCTACTTCCACTGAGCAGAACATCAGACAGTGATAGTAATTAGGTTAGAAATGCATGCATGGTGCAGCTTCATTAACAGTAGGTTAGGACCTGTCAACTGCGAGCCAGGCCTTCTCATCCAACATCAATGCCTGACCTCGCAAATGCTCTTTTGACTGAAAGGGCACAAACTCCCACAGACACACTCACAATCTTGTGGAAAGCCTTCCCAGAAGAGTGGAGGCTGCTATAGCTGCAAAGACTGAGCAATTCCATATTAAAGTTCATAATTTTGAAATGAGATGTCCAACAAGATCATATAGGTGTGATGGTGTCCACATACTTTTGGCCATTTAGTGTGACTGTAATGTATCCTATTATATAAAATTATTTTGCAGTACAGTTCTAGAATATGTATCATTCTATTTAGTTCAGCTGTATGATATGCATTCTGTTCATTGAGAAAAGGGGGCCTGAGAGTGGCTCAAGGGGAGCCCCCTACAACATACGGGAGATATAAGGGAGGGGTGCTTATCAGTTTAAATGTGTGAAATATGAAATATCTGAAATATGGGGGCTTTGGAACGCATGCTTATACCTGCAGACCCTGCAATAAAGGTTTCATTGTGTGTTGTCTGTTCTTGCACATCACAAGGGAGAACCCTGATGCAGATCATGTTTCAGTGGTGGGTTTCACCTCTGCTCTGCAACCTCAGAAGCACTGCTTTAAGGGCCTGTTACACTGCAGTCTCATTTAATCAACTCCTGAGCTCAACAAACTCCTCTTATCTTTCCCTCCCTCTGTTGTTGCAGCAGAGGAATGCTGGGAAAAGCAACACATCAGTTCAGAAGAGCCAAAGCATGCTGCAATGTTTCATGTGCTCAAAGGATTTAGAATTTAGGGAATTTCCATTAGGTGTTTGGGGCAAAGAAAAAAGATAGCACGGATTAAAAGCAGGCGTAGTTTAAAACCACCTTACCATCCATGCAGTCACAAAGTCTCCCATCCACGTACCAACAGCAGCCATCTTCATAAAGCTCTCATTCCTTATGCCCATGTACTCTGTGACCATGTGAGGACTGCAGGAAGAGACAGAGTGAGTGAGAGAGAGAGAGAGAGAGAGAGTGGGGAAAACAGAGAAAAAAACGGTCACTACTGCAAAGTGTCATGATGTTAGCTGTCGCACTCAATCAATTTCCATCTGCCTCCACAAGCACAAAGGCACAAACATTTTACCTGCTGAATCAGGCAGAGCCTCTATGGACTTTTAGTTGACTTCGCAATCACAGAGTAGAAAATCAGCTCCGATTGCATTGTGCAAGTGTCACAGTAGCTCTTTGTGATAAAAGCTGTTGCAGGTACAAGCTCCTAATAATTAAAGATAAAGCTGCAGATTCTCCTGGAGACCTCAAACCTTTTTCACATCAGTAGCTGCGCTTTCAGAAATGACTGCAAACCGAACACAAAAGCTCTTCCAGAAACTTTAATTTGACAATGAAGCTTCACTCCACACAGACTCAGTTTAATCGCATTCACCAAAAATCAAAGGCTTAATGAAGGTAAACTGAAAAAGGGCTGGCGTTAGAGAGTTGTTGTGGCTGTGGCCGACAGCATTTCGTATTTGCAGCTGATGGAACGAACACGGATCAGCCCGGAGCAGCTGAATCCTGCCACCTGCACCTCTCCCGCCTCCCGCCTCCCTCCTAAACCGTAATCTCATTATCCTATTAACGAGCACAGACAGGTTTAACAGGCTCTCAACTTAATGAATGCCAATTATCTCTCCCTTCCTCTTGCCATTAGCTGACATTTCCTCCCAACAGCACAGCATTACATACGCTCACCCATCAAACCAAGAGCCAGGAGTGTGATTATTATTATTCAAGAAAGGAAAAACCCACACATCCTTGCATCACATTCCCTTCCTCCTCATTCATTCATGTGTCTAGCTGTGCAAACACCATATTGCATCAAACCGCCTCCAAACTGCCACCAAAAGCCCTCCATTACGGCACGTGTGATTTATCTCACTGCATCTACATTCCATCCTTTAAGCCTGTAGGAGAGGCCCTCATTAGAGCGAAGGAGAGAGGGGGTGAACAGGAGTGAGGCCTTGTGTGATTAGAATGCAAATTTGTCACGATGTTTAGTCACTTTAGAACACCTTCCAGTTCTGGAACGATGCCAGTCGCCATAACGATCCCACGGGGAGTCCTTCACGCAGGCCGCAATTCTGATCGATAAATCTGGAGCACTCTGTCAGGCTCCGGTGGCACGCTAAAACAGAACAGCAAGCAGAGAACCTTCCTTTCAGTGCTGCAGGTGTCACTTTTTTCCATTTTTCTGAAAATAACAATGTTCCTCCTTTTCTATCCTGCAACAAAATGCAGAAAGGAGGTTTTTTTATGTGGGCCGGTCTTTACCTCAGCCCTAAATTCCCCTCCCTTCTTATTTCCCCACATTTCTTCTGCACTTTCACTATTTCACTCCGCTCTCTCTAAATTTTTCTCACCCTCTCTTTTCCCCATACCCCCCGTGATTAAAGGCTGGGGGCTCTGACTTATTCATGAGGGCTGAAATTTTAATGCGGTGCGAGGCGAGTGACCTAATGAGGAAGGGTATTGCGTGCTGAAACATCCACGCAACGCTTCCAGCAGGAATCGGCTCCCCCAAAAACCACCTGCCCACACACACACTCACGACCACCCATGCAAAAATAAAGACACACATGCACACAAAGGAGAGAGAAATCTTTTAAAACCGACATACAGCAATCTGCTAAGAACACTTAGATAGCTCTATCCCAAAATCAGCATGCTTTCCAAGTCATAGTGCCGCTTCTCTCATTACGCTAGAAAGAGCAGGCTAGAGGCCCCCCATTACACATGAATCCCACTGAAGTGAGGCACCAGTGAACACACAGAAGGAGAAATTACCATAGTGCTGTGATTATCCACTGTAAAACTATACAGCAGCCCTTTGGGAAAATGCCAGTCGCATATACAAAAGCACCACTTTGCCTAAGGCTCCTATTTGCCACTGAGCTGCTCCAGTGTCCCCTTCTGTTAATTATAACCTCCAGTGGTCAGGCTTGTTAAAATCAGACCCTGTGCTGGGAATCTGCAGAAAAGAGGTCACAGATGTTCTGCTTGTTGCTCCGAATCAAGAACGTGAGAAATTGCAAAATTGCATAGTCATTCCCGCTAGCGCTTTTTTTTTCTTGTTTGAGGAAGGAGCTGAAGCGCTTTGAGGAGCCCTCTTTCCTCTAGAGTCGACAATGGCCGTGACAAGATTCTAAATGAATATGAGTGTGAGCTCAGAAGGCATGTCCAACCACAGCGGTTACCAGTTGCACCGTAAGCCCACGAGGCCTGGAGGGCACCAGCCATGCACATTAATATGCATGTGCCACCTCTTCAGTCTCCATCAACCTGGTGCTTGGCTGCTTAGCTCTCACTCATAAAGCCTTTTCTCCTGCTAAAGACAACAACCAGCCTCGATGACCGAAGGCTTCCAGATATTTGACAGCACTTGTGATTTTTAAATACTCATTTTTCTGTCTATCTGCACCACAACATGGTCCTTCAATGCAAACAGCTCTCATTGAATCCCAAGGGGGCAATACCAGTCCAGCTCATAAATCCTGTTTATGTGGTTTCTGTCACTGTATGACACTGTTGTCCAGGCTTGTGCCCCTGCCCTTTCGCCCTCAGAGTGTACCAGTGCTCTATGGGTCAGCCAGTGTAGCAACTGTATTTTATATTGCCCCCTTTACTGATCAAAAGCTGTTTCAGTGCCGATTGGCCCTGGTGTAACGAAGAGTTGATGATGTCCAAAGTTAACACATTTAGCTAATACTGACAAGCACAGAAGTATGTGCATGCGCAGTGTACATATGACTAAGCTCACACAGAAAGCTGACACTCGCCCATGCAGCGAGGCGGCGAAACATGCTGTGTTTAGACTGGAAAGGAAGACGCCACAGGATGGAAAGGATTTAGCTGGCTGACAATGGAACCAAAAAACTAGCCACTCAATTACCTTCTTTAGGTACTGTTTACAGTCTGAATGGCGACCACTGAGAATCACTTTTTAGCCTGAGAACTGCTGTCACATCAGCTTGTCAGTCGTCTTTTACAACATGGCTAAACTATAAGTTCAGTAGCACAAAGGAAGCAGATCAAAGAGCACATATTTTACATATGCTGTATTACATATGCTGTAAAATAAATCATAAACATGTTTTTTTTATTAAGCAAACTGCCTTCTCATTTGAAAGCAAAAGGAAATTTTCTTGGCACTGTGGGTTAAATCAGTACATGAGCTAGCTAATGTTGGAGTTAACAGTCGTCGTAAGGCAGTCATCTTATTCTACACGAGGTCAGTTCTTTCCTGCTCAATGAATGATGTGGAAACATGCTGGCTTGTCAATGTAAAATTGAGAGCAGAGAAATATCTTTTCTAAGTTAAGCGATCAAGATTAGTTTAGCCACACTAAGTTACTTAAGACTTCTGAGTCGTGTGTGTGGCACGTTAGGGCACTTGTGTTTCCAAGTAATGTTAACAAAGTAAAATAATACACAGCAGACTTCACTGAGTGAGATGGCACTGAGCTACCCGTTTATTAGGTACATTTACCTTGTAATTCCCATTGCTGAATTAAATACCACATTGCTAGGCTAAAATGTCTATAAGGCATCTACCGTTTTAACGTCCACTTTCAACATTTACAGTTTTACAATCTCACAACAAAAGCATCAATTAGTTTCATTACACAGTGAATAGAGCTAGTGGGTCAGCTCAGGTTCTGTGAAATTCATTGCTCTTGGGCGCGCCCTCTGGTGGTGTACATGCAACGCTGGAGGTGCTGACCTACTGAAACAAGTATTTATGGAAAAGAAACAGGTCCACATGATTCACTGTGGACCTGTTAGAGAGAGCATATGGTTAAATAAAGTCACAAGTTACTGATTTGTACTGGTTATATACTGTAGTGGATAACATCCTCACCCCATATGCAGAACACTGCTGTTCAGTCGCTGCTCTAACAGAAGGATAATTTTAGGCTTGACATAAGATTCCTAACACTACATTTGTCTTCCTCTAAAATACTGTCTCTATGGATAATGTCTGCCATATGCTGAGAAATAAATTGCATTTTTTCATGTTCAGGTTGTCCTTTTTTCCCTTGAGTCTCTGCCACCCAAAATGTCTGTGTATAGGCCTGCTGTTGTCTATAAATGGAGAAAGCATGGATTAGATTCAGGCTTTGAGATGACTGCTACTACTGTTTTAGCTATACAATGCTATTTTTACCGAAATAGCATGTAGCTCCAGTGCAAAACAAAATAAATCACAGACACTAAAATATGTCTTGGCTGATCAACGACGTTTACAGCAAAATGAGATTTTTTTGCAAAATAAAAACCTTTAAAGCAGTTCTCTGGCGAGGTGTCTCAGTGCTCTTCTATGCTTCACTAGAAGGCAGGTCCATGCAGCACTGTTACAGCCACTGCACTATCAACCAGTTTTATTGTTTTCAATCACAGTGACACCACACTGGCTCTGGAAGTCTCCAAAGCCCTCATCAGCCCTTTAGTTTTTCGAGAAGCAGAGCAACTAAGCATGAAATGCATTCACTGAAAAATGCATGTAATATAAACTAATAAGTCTGAGTTGAACAAATCCGAATGAAGCTAGTGCGAATATCAATATCTCATTATCGCAGGCGTCCCCTCTATTTACAATTCCAATCAGCCAGCACACGGAGATGTGTTTAGCACTGTTTATGATAAGCAATTAGGCAGTAAATAATCACACTCAAACCAAATGTAAATGAACACAGAGATTTTTTCCTTACTCTCCCTCAGGGGGGCTTGGATGGAGTGCAATATTTAGAAATGTCAAGCTGGGTTTTATGGGAAATATTGAATGCTAAGCTGACAGCTAACAGAGCTGGAACAGTTTAATTTATGATATCTCCTGCTTGTAAAGCCACACTCAATATGATAGGAATATTGAGTTGTAATTCAGGATCCTGTGGCCTGAGGTACGTACTATCTCGCTCTCTCTCTCTCTC